CTTCCGTTTGTGCCCGTTGCCCCTTGTCCTGTCACTGGGCACCACTGAAAAGAGTCTGGCCTCGTCCTCCTGACACCCACCCTTGAGACATTTATAGGCATTTCTAAGGTCCCCTCGTAGCCTTCTCTTCTCCAGGCTGAACAAGCCCAGCGCCCTCAGCCTCTCCTCGTAGGAGAGATGTTCCAGTCCCCTCATCATCCTCGTAGCCCTCCGCTGGACTCTCTCCAGTAGCTCCTCATCTTTCTTGAACTGGGGAGCCCAGCACTGGATGCAGTACTGCAGATGGGGCCTCACTAGGGCAGTGTAGAGGGGGAGGAGAACCTCCCTCTGATCTGAAGATGAAGAAAGCCTGTCTCCCCCCTCTCCTTGCACTACACCCACATCAAATTCCAGGCTGAAACCCTGGGAAGAGGACCCACACCTTCCGTCCTGTTATTCGGTGTGGTTGGAGGGTCCCTCTGCTCCCCGGGAGCCTGTGACGAGGTGCCCCAGGAGGTCACACAGCTGCAGATGATAGGGGCAGTGACAGCGGGGAACTGTCATTCTCCAGCAGCAGAAATTCGAAATAAACTACTGGTGTCGGAAATTTTCTTTAGTTGCAGAAAACATTTTGAAAGCTGGAGATGCAGCAGAGCAAAAGACATCAAAAGACTTCAAAAATCCATTTTGCAGTTCATTCACTCTCACGTGGCTTTTCTTTTCACTCTCCTCACACCATTCTTATTTTTTTCTTGGGGAAAAAAGTGAAAGAAACAGCAAAGGTTTTGAGGGTTTTTTACTGTTCAGTGGTTCCTTGTGCAATTTTTATTATTTTGTCAAACTTTCAACCTCATGTGTCTGTGAAGTCTTCTCACCAGCACATGGCTGGTTTAGGTGAATTTTCCTTCTTTCATATCCTGCTGTCTGGGGTCAGGTGAAGCTTGACAAATTACTGCTTCAAAGATGACTTCTTCTCGTACTAAATCCAAAACACAGCAGCTACTGGGAGGACAATTAACTCTATCCCAGCTGAAACCAGGGCATTATCCCTGCCTTGATCTCAGCCTCTGTAGACTAGACTCTAACCCCTCACACTCAGTATCTCACAGTATGCACCTTGTTTGGAAAGAGACTTATGAAGAAAAATATCATGAGAAATCCCACGGCTTTATCAGGATTCCTGTATCCCTGGTCACTCTTTAAACTGATAAAGATTTAAAGTTACCAGATTTCATATTTGTTGTATGTCTAAGGGTTAAAAAATGATCCTAAGGCTGGACAGGATAACCAGGTTATTTCTGTTTGCCCCGAAATTGCCCGGCACGTAGTCGTTTGGACCTCGTGGCTGGCAGCGAGCCTTTGGAGCATCTTGCGTTGCACAGACAGACACGAAGGCTGGATTCACCTCTCGGTCGGCAGCAGAGACACGTCTGCAGGCACCACGTGTTCAGACTTCCCTGTCAGTCGGAGGACTTTTGGAAAAACACTGAAATTATCCCTAGGAAATTACTCTTTTTCCAACTCCGTGTACTGGTTGTAGTGCCAAGATCTCTGCTGACCCCAGAGGATGCTGCAGAAGAGAGGAGACATGAACATTCCCCTTGCAGAAATTAAGCAATCTCTTTGTAAGGGAGAGGTCTGTATCTCCTCTCTTCTCTTGCAGCATCCTTCAGTCTGACAAATACCAGTGCAATAGCCTTTTTCTGGGTTTGAAAGGCCCCATGGTTGGAAACAACTTCTTTTTCCTGGAGGGTTTCAGAGAAACAGGGCTGTTTTCTGTCCCACGAGCCGGTCTGGGAGCTGACCATTTTTGACACAGACATCTCACCCTCCGATATTGCTCCTGGGGCTTGTCTGGCTGCCCTTTGCCAGGATGCTCTGAGCCACCCAACACCAGATCTCTCCCTGTCTCCCTGCAGAAAGCCTGGGGTGGGTGGTTTAACACGCAGTGGAGGTGGTAGGGAAGGGGACACTGAAGAAATTCTCCTTGTCCTCCGTGCCATTAATGGTGATCCCCGAGGAGTCACAGTTAATATAATAATCTGGTCTCAGGCTCCTTTGAAAAGTCACCTGCTTTGTGCAAGGATGTCCAGGACAGCCACGGGACCATGAAACCTGAGTGGTTGCACTGGGGTGAGGATGTTCTGTAGGCACCCCAGGAGGGGGAATTCAGGGGTGCAAGGGGAAAGTGGTGGCTGTCGGCCTCCGGTCTCTACCCCCACTACGGGACTGAGTTTCCCAGTGCAGAGGCTGAACGGGACTGATGGGGCATTGAGGGTTGCTGTGTTCTCTAACATTAAACTGGGATTTAATGTGTGGAGGAGGGAGGTACAATATTAGGCAGTCAGTCCTCTCCCAGCCTTTGCCACCACCCTGCTTTGAAGCAATGGGAAAATACCAAAGCCTTTTCTCTTCCCATGTGTCACTTTGGTGTCACAGGTCTGGGGCTGTCAGAAATGTCTGGGGCTGTCAGAGGTGTGTCGTGATCACAGCCGAGGGAGGTCTGGCTGCAGAACCTCTCCTGGCTCTGCCCTCTCGGGAGGTGAATGAACCACAAGGTACACAGACATCATATCTGCCCATCTTTACTTCAAAGCAAGGAACACGGTCTCGGTCACACAGTGAATACAGCGCTGGGAGCCCCGGTGCAAGTGCTGCTCTTCCTCCTCGGCTGGACTCTTTCACCATCATTTTCCCTTTTTGGGTGGGGGGATGCAGCAGTACATCTTCCCACAGGACCGGCTGAAAGTCCACTCGTCCCTCTTGGCACACATGTAGGAACAGTACCCGTCACAACTGCCCTTAGACTGACCGTACCCTGCAAACGGAGGGAGGGAGAGATGGGTTATAAGAGAAAATATCAGACACTGTAGGAGGGCAGAGCTACAAAAGTTATCTCCTCGCTGGCTCCAGGGTGGTACTGATGCACAGGGTAACTTTGGGTTGAAACACATATAAGATAGGGCCCATGCCTTCTGTCCCCATTGGGCTGAGGGACGGCTGGACTCTTAAAAGTCATCCCCTACACGTATCAGTACTGCAGCTTGCTGGGAAGATCCCTTTCCATGAGCATGAGAGACAGGCATTTGCAGCGTAGCGTTCATCTCATCCCGAGTCGGCTGTGTGAGCAAGGTTGGGTCAATCATCAGCCAGAGACAGCTGCAGGTAGCTGAGCTCCACTGCCAAGGTGGGGGGAGACCAACCACCTCCCTCCACCCCAAGGCACAGAGGCCAGGGAGGTCACAGACACCCGTTACCCCCAGGCTCTGGGATCAGCCCCCCTTTCTCCCCTCCGTCTTACCTGGGGTGGCCAAGGAGAAAAGCAGGAGCACAGCAAAGACCACGCAGAGCACCCTCATGCCTGGAGGCCAGCAGATATCTCAGCACACCAAGAGCAAAGTGGGTCTGAGATAGCCACGGTGGAGGACTTTGGAGGCCCTGGGTTTTATAGAGGGACTTCAGCCATGAGCGAGCCTCGGGAGGAGAAACTTGAGCAAACCCATCTCCAAAGACGAGTTGTTTGTTTGCTGGTGTGTGCAATGTCACCCCGACCTGCTGGTCCCACTCACAAAGGCACCTGGCAGCCAGGTCCACGCTTCAGTGGGATTCTCCTAACTGCTTGCCGGCCACTTTCACCAACCCGGACAAGCGGGGACAATTCCCCCTCCTCCAGATCCGGCTGCCAGGACTCTGCTGCCAGCACACACGGAGCTGCTGGGCACAGCTCTGCTCGACCCAGCGCCCGCCGGGGCTGCCAACAGCAGAGCTGCTCCCCAGAGGTGCAGGAATTAAGCCTGGGTGCATTTCTGATGAGGCACCAGCACCGGACACTGTCTGCATGGCACGGACGCAATGCAGAACATTCGGGCATCAGACCGATCACGGGGGACAGTTTTCAGGGTGCATCCATCCCCGACCGATGCATTGGCAGTGAGATTCATCAAGGTTCTCCCTCAAATGTGCAAACTCTGCAACATTTTCATATAATCATAGAATCACAGAATGCTTTGGGTTGGAAGGGACTTTTAGAGGTCATCTCCTCCAACCACCCTGCAGTGAGCATCTTCAACCAGATCAGGCTGCTCAGAGTCCCATCCAATCTGACCTTGAATGTTCCCAGGGATGGGGTATCTCCCACCTCTATGGGCAATCTGGGCCACGGTTTCATCACCCCCTCTGTAAAATATGTCTTCCTTCTAGCCACTCTAAATCTACCCACTTTCAGTTAAAAACCCTTGTCCTGTCGCAACAGGCCCTACTGAAAATCCTGTCCCCTTTAAGTACTGGGGGGCTGCTCTAAGGTCTCCCCGCAACCTTCTCTTCTCCAGGCTGACCAGCCCCTGCTCTCCCAGCCTGTCCTCCCAGCAGAAGTGTTCCAGCCCTCGGGTTATTGCTGGGGCCTCCTCTGGACCTGCTCCACCAGGTCCAGGTCTGTCCTGTGCTGAGGGCCAGAGCTGGACACAGGACTCCCGGGGGGGTCTCAGCAGAGTGGGGTAGAGGGGCAGAATCCCCTCCCTCACCCTGTGCCCACGCTGCTGGGGATGCAGCCCAGGGCACGGTTGACTTTCTGGTCTGTGAGTGCACACTGCTGGGTCATGTCCAGCTTCTCATCCCCCAGTACCCCCAAGTCCTTCTCCTTGGGGCTGCTCTCCGTCCCTTCATCTCCAGCCTGTATTGATATCAGGGGTTGCCACGACCCAGGTGCAGGACCTTGCACTTGGTCTGATTTTCATCACATTCATTTGGCCCGACACCTATTTGAGTATTTTGCCTGAAATCTTTCAAAAAGGACTATGGTGCTGATTAAAGGGGATGTAGGCAAATATGCAAATTAAGGTAAAGTAATGAATTGCCATGCCACATGTGATCTGTTGTGAGTCCAGTGCTATCCTGCCTAATAATTTTCATGGCTGTCTAAAAAGTGTGCTTACTAAATTCAGAAATAAGAAGTTTAAAGGGACTGCAAAGCCTTAGAGGTCAGGATTAGTATTCCAGTGGATCTTCTCATGCTAAAGAGACAATGAAAAAAGAGTAATTAAGTAATAGGGAAAGCTACCTTGTCTATACAAGCAAGAAAAATTAGCTGGAAAATGCAGAGCAAGGTGTTTCTGGCTGCATGCAGTTAGCAGGGAAAATCTGGGTTGCAGTAGATCACAGGTAGGCACATATGAGCAGTGTCACGGTGTTGTGAAACCAGCACCAATTGTCCTACTAGTTTAAACAAAAGCTGAGTTTGTAAAACACAGGACGTACCCACGGCACCGTGCACCCCTTAAAGGTGCATCCATCCAGTTTCGTACACCGTGCTTCGAGAAAGCAGTGGCAGGGCTGGAGGGAGCTCAGAAAATGACAGGAGCTCAAGGGCACGTGACCTATAAGAGAAGACTGAAGGAAGTGGAATAATGTTGATGCAGGAATTAAGTCTGAGACTAAGACAAATGTCCCAAAATACAGAAAATACAATGCATTGGAAAGGTCTGTTCTTGGTGGCCAGGGTGAGAACTGAGTGACTCCGGTGGCAATGAGAAGTCCTCACCTGAGATCTAGGAAAGCCTTTGAAAGGACAGGATTGTACAGCAGCAGGAAGGATTGAACGGGGGAGTGGAGAAACACCATCGCTGGAGGTCTTAAACAAAAAAATGGACAAACTCATGAGAACAACACTCAGAAAGAGCGGTGATGATGCAGACGAGGTGCACAGTCCCCTCACCCTTAACTTTACTCAGTTTCTGTACTCAGAGAAGATCACAGAGAGGAACGTTAAGGCTGAGGCAAGTTGGAGTGCAGAGGGTGGTTCGGGCAGAAGCAAGTGCCTGGGAAGGAGTCCAAGAACATGTGTTTTCATTCGGTAAAACTCCTCACCCTCCAGTAACGTGAAATTTGCTGACTTCCTCAAGAAGGTTTTACATGTAATCTTTTATTTTGTACTTGCTTCATTAGCTTATAAATTGCTTTTTCAATGCATTTGTCATTTTGACCCCTTGAAAAACTTGAGGCAACAAGTTCCAGGTTTCTTCTATGCTCAGTTTGAAAGAGGACTTTTTTTGTCACTTTTTCAACAAATGCGTGATTTATCATTTCATCTCACCTGTTTCTTGGGTTATGAAAATTGGAGAACCACAGTTCTCTCTTCCTTAGACCTCTAAAATGTTTACAGCCTTGTGATACACCTTCAGTAACTGTTTCTTCCCTGAGCTGATGAGTGCCAGTATGTTTAATTTTACGAAAGCAAGTCCCTAGATCTGCCACCTTTCTTTTAGCCTCTTCTTGCCCTGCTGTAGCCCACCAGGGCTGGGGAGATGAGCAGTGCACACACCACAGCGTGATACCCACAGATTGATGCAGTGAGACAACATTTTCTTTCGTCTTAATAGCTTTCTTAACATTTCTTAATGTGCAATTTTCCATTTTTTAGTTCTTATCTGCTGTTTTCAGACCACTTTCTTGAGGGGCTCCCAGCCCTCCTTCCTAAATGGCTTTAGGTAAATTAGACCCATCATTTCACAGAATCACAGAATCACAGAATAGTAGGGGTTGGAAGGCACCTCTGTGGGTCATCTAGTCCAACCCCCTGCCGGATTATATATTTTTCAAGTTTCACAACCTTTAACTGACATTGAATCAGCATTTGACATTTTGCTGCCCTGTTACTCAGCGTTGCAAGACCCTTCTGCCGCCCTTTGCAGATTTAGGTTTGGTGGTATTCAGTAATTTAGCAGCTGCAGCAGCTTCTGTCCCTTCACCAGTCGCCTCTTTTTCTGGCTGTTGGTGAAGCTATTAAACAGACCAATGAACTGAGGTTGGAACAGTTCCTTTGCAGAGCTCTGCTCATGTTTGAAACCCCACGTCTGTCTGGAGGGTTTGTGAAGAAGGGGTGATGATCAAAGTGTCTGCAAGCAGTTGGCCCATCAGGCTCCTTGGAGCTCTCAGCCCATCCATCAGAGGGGACAACAAAAGAGACTACATTGAACGTGATGTTTGCTAAATTTATCAGAGAGATTTCGCAGACATGGTTCCCTTCACAAGTGGAGATGGGAACATGGGTGCTTTCCAAGCCAACAGCCCCACATGGTGACCAGTCTGAACAATGGAGGGAGAGTTATCGGTGCATCGTGGCCACAACTCAGCCATATTGCATGCAGTCACATCTGTGCCAGAGGTTGGGAAAGGCCTGAAACCCCATGATACTGATCTTGTTCTCCCCTCATCATTGTACCTGCAGATCTCCATCAGGTCCCTCTGACCCATCATCACTGTCCTAACAACTCTGCTATTGACAGCCCCTATTCATTTGTGCTCTCATCAAAACCAGTGTGCTGAAATCATATCTGATATTGAGTAACCAGACCTGGCAGAAGGAGGTGGCTGCTGGCACACTTGGGCGCACGTGGGAAGTGCCACAGCTGCACATTCAGACACAAAGAGCCCGACTTGGACGAATTCACATCTCCCCAGCATCCTTCGCTCTATAAAAACCGGCAGCCGCAGCCTCCCTGTATACCACCTCCTCCCTTCGAGCTCTCTCGACTCTCCTCTCCAGACTTGCAGAGATCCCAGCGCATCTCCAGCCATGAGGTTCCTCTACCTTGTATTTGCTGTCTTCCTGCTGGTCTCCCTGGCCACCCCAGGTAAGACAGAGAGAGATGAACTGATACTAGCTTGTACTGATACTAGCTGATACTACCCAGGATTATTTTAAAGTAACTTTAGCTCTTGAAAATATAGTTATTAACAACTGAGGTGACTGCTATAACCTGGCCAGGTACTTTAATGACTTCTTTCAAGGGATACTGAAATAAGGACTACCCCAGAGAGATTTGTATAGCAATAACTGAGGTTAAAACTTCAGTACCCAGTCTGGGAGCGAGCCCAGGCCGGACAATTGCCAGACAAGAGTCTGGATGTGGTCACTTCTCTTGGGGACTCAGAGAGTTTCATAGTACCAGAGAGCACTCTTCTGTGCACCTCAATTTCTCTCTCAGTCCGGGGTACATTTGATTTACTGATGTGATGTAGCTATTGCTGCTAATGCCTGCTTCTGAGACTCTAAGGCTTCTGGTCCCTCTACAGGAGTCAAAAGGGGATTCTGGGCTGAGGTCTCCCAGAGAGGCATTAGAAACCCCCTTCAGATATCAATTCCCATCCATCTGGGCCAAGTCTTTCACTTGGCCCACCCTTAACCACCACGGTGAATATTTGGTGCAAGGGTGCTGTGGGGCCAATTTCAAGACATTTGCAGCATCCTCTCAGCCATTTCTGAGTAAGAGGGCAACTTTTAAAAGCATGATATATGTACAGAGACCTGAGTGGACAGCTAAGTTTTGAAATAAGCTGGATGTGGCTTTTGCTGTTTTGCTCT